TGAAAATTAATAAAATATAATTATAGAAAAAAAAAAAAAGAAAGGGCAGAGGATGACCTGGCCATTACGGCCATCCTTCCCCACGTTTAACCTGCCCCACGTGCGGCCCACGGCAAACAGCAGGGAAGGAAAAGGAGAAGGCCCGTTCCGAGGAGCTCCCACTCCAGTGAGCACAGACGGACCACAGGCAAACTAGCCGTGTGAGTGCCAAGTCCCAGGGTGAAACTGCCAACCGCCATGGGACGCGAAGTCTAACGGTGCACGCGGCTCAGGGGAGCACGCTGAAGGACGACGGAGCCACTGTGAATTAAACACGGCGTGACGGACGGAGAGGACCAACAGGACGTGGCTGCCCGAGAATTCTCACAGCCAGAATCCTCCTCAGAAACAGGGATCTCAAGACTCCAGCTCTCTTGCTTTGGACACACGTTCAGGCAAGACCAATGTCTAGAAAAGACATCACTGCTGACCAAGTTCACAGTCAGCGAGATGGTGAAACCCTCTAGCAATGTCAAAGTAAACAGCACACACAGTCAGCACGGGCTTCCGCGCTGTGGTGCTGGTGGAGCTGTGTGCTGCCGAGTCAGAGGCAACTCACAGGAGACCCTCAGGCGGGTTGTCGGAGGCAGTCACCCACCCAGGAGACTGCCAATCTCTCTCCGTCAGAACAGCCTAGTGGGTGTGAACCCTGTGCCTCTGGGACTGCGGCACAGCTTCTTCCCACAGGCCACCAGAGCTCCCCTTCTGTGGTGCACTGGTTTATGTCTCACCACATGGCCAAGCGAGCTAGGCCAAATGATGGAACAACATGAACACCCAGACAACGCGTGTTAGTGTACTAATGGCTCTCACTGTCAGCAGTGCCACGCTGCCAGGTTTAAACTGAGCCGATTTAAAGGGACCAGGCAGAAACCAGAACTCCCACCACCAGGAACAAAGAAGCAGCAGAGAAGGCAGTACACGTCCCTCGGGGCCAGAGACTCCTGTGCCCATCACACCGGAGATACGTAAGAGCAGCAGCAGAGAACCGGCGACCGAGGTGAGACAGCGCTGAGCTGGAACCGTTGCCCCTCAGCAGCGTGAGAGCAAGGGGCCTTTGCCCAAGCTTGCTGGAGGACTGGGGAGGAGGGGCAGCATGGAGAATGACACTGTCACTGGCAGGACTAAGAGAGCTGTCAACAGACCTAAAGCCTCAAAGCTGAAGGTCAAAGGGCCTGCAAATACCTGAGCAGCTGTCCTGACTGAAGAACTGTGTCCTGTTCTGAACCTGAACTGTAACCTACTAACCTCACTGACAAATACTATAATCTTGAGTATAGTTTGGTGAGTTCTGTGTAGACACTGCAACGGATTAGCAGATTCAGTGTTAGAGCAGCGATGGCCCTGGAAGGTCAGCTGGTGTTAAAATTGGCAGAAGTGCACACAGGAGCAGATATGTCTGACGTCATGGAAATCGCTTTTATATAGTGGACGTTGTAGATGAGGACTATTTATTCTCCCTTGGTGTAGGCTGGTGCCTGAATTCTTTTTATATTTATGCTTACTTACTAATCTGTTTTCACATTTTTTTCACCACAGAAAAGATTCTACTTCTAGGTATGGCTGGCAGCTATCCCTTGCCCAGCCCCAGGGTACCTTCCTAAAGAATCTACTCTTCTTTTCCACTTACAATCCCCGGCAGGGACAAAGCACTCAAGGCTTGGCTACTAATCTGCAGGGAACAGCTGCTGTGTAGTTCAGGACAGATTAACAACAGAAGACTCTTCAACACACTCCTTGTCCCCAAAACAGGGTCTCTCAACCTCGGTACTACGAACACCGTGGTCAACAGCATCCCCAACACCACCATCCCCAGCGCCACCATGTCCACCGCTCTGTGACAACCCACCATGTCCCAGACATTGCCAATTCCAAGATGATGATTTCCTTACCTGTTAAGGACTTCGTAAACTTCTGAGAGACTGAAAACCCTTGGGAAATTCAGTTCCTAAGATTATGGAAAAAAAATCAGGGAAAAAAAAATTAAGAAAAAAGTCAGTTTTTCATTATCTGCTTCAAGTTCTAGCAAATGTCTATTACTACAATGTCCTCTTTTAAAACCTTACAGGAAATACACTTGACAGTATTGTGGGTCCAGTCCCAGAGCACTGTGAAGAAGTTAATGCCACAATACAGTAACTCAGAGCATGTTTTCTGTGTCCCAGGGCATAAAATCACACTATTCTATCAGAGGAATCATGCCGGCACAGTGCACTATGCGTCTGCTGCTAACCAAAAGGTCAGTGATTCAAGCCCAGTGGATGGCCATGATGGACAAAGACAGGCAGTCTCCTCCCAGAGTCACAGCCCTGGAAGGTAATGCAGGGTCACTGTGAGCCGGACCTGATTCCTGCAACAGCACTGGGGGTC